AAATAAAAACTCCATTCCAAAACAACGATTAAGCTTTTTTTTTTCCCTTAAAAAAAAAATATCAAGGTTCCTCTCTTCCTGGCTCTGACTCTTGACTGGAATAATACCTGTGATCCAGGTACTTACAGTCAACAGGACACTGAATTCCTGTTTCAACAGGAATTACTTCGGATGGGCAAGTGACCAAAGAGATTTCCTCAGAATGACACTTCAGATTCAAGCACACCTACACCTACCTGAAGGAAGTATGATTCCTTAAGCCAAATCCCACCAGACTTGCACTTTGGAGGGATGTAGGCTGTGTCCTGGGTCTGGACACTCTTGTCTCTGGAACAAACTGCACCCCAAAATGAATAGACTACTGAATTCACATGGATCAACAAATTTTCATTTTTGCTTTTACTAGTTAAAATACAGTAGGGTCTATTGGTTATTTTGACAAACAATATAAAAAGTCCTAGGCACAGGACAGGAAATGGGGGAGATCTACAATTCTATCTGGGAGCTGATTGCAACTACCAAAAGGATACACTTTTGCCTTCTCTGGATCTACAAGTGAGTAAGCAGAAATAAGCTGTGCCAAGGTATGGATATCTTTTGGATTCTGTCTGTAAGAAAAAATAAGAAAGTTACTAAACAGCTCTTAAAACGGAAGGAAATAGCATTTTAAAAAAAAGGTACAATTGTTCCCTCGTTATGAATTAATAGCACTAAGAGTGAGATTCCCACATTCCCACTCTTCAGAGCTTACTTCCATAGCTGTTCGAGGTCACTAATTGCCTCCTTCTTCCGCCCATATTTGAGTTTAAAGTTGGCAGCTTCTCTTATCAAGGACAAATGAGCAGAAGACTTGGGCTACAGATTCAAAAAGAGGGGGGAAAGAAAAGATTTTAAGAGAAATATTTATCCAGTCAATAAAATTATATTTATTCACCAGATTTACAAAACAGATCAGTACATCAAATTCTTGATTTTAAACTCTAATGAGTGCAAAAATACAAAATCATACACATGAACAGGGAGAGAGGCATCTTGAAAAATCGGCTGAATCTGGGCAGAGAGCTCATCTGTATTCAGGCTGTTTAACAACTATAAGTATCCCCCATAATCACAATTCTCTAGCATTACCACAGTACTTCGCAGAGCACTCTAGTCCTCTAACAGTACAAAATGGCACATATGTGCGTAAAAGTTAAATACTTCCTACACTGAGACTTATATTGGCAATAAAGACGTATGTTCCTATTAGATGGAGACACAATCTGCAATTTTTCTATGTATGACTGTTCTACTAGTTACTAATACTCAAAGGGCTGGTTCTTCAGCCACTTAAAATTCTCTTGTACATAATCATGTACCATTATCGTTCTTACTTAAGAATGAACACACACACACACACACACACACACACACACCCAAAGAATGAATACATACACAGACGCACACACTTTTTCTCTCTCTCAAAGAAGCTTTAGAAAAATCTAGGGCTAATATTTTCTAAGGTTGTAGCTTTATTATTATTTATTTTTCCATAACTTTATTTTTTTTATTTCTTTATTTCATAATGACTGCAGCCTAGGAAATTACTGAAAATGGTAATTTATACAAAGTCAACTATGAGTCATAACAGACTAAAAGACATATAACAACATTCTTCTAAAAAATGAACTTACAGTCTAATAGCCTTCATTTTCTTGACACAGTCTGTTATATTTTGAGTTGACTACTGCAGGTCTTTACTTTTCTATATTCTTTTATATAAACATTCTCATAATTTGCAGAGCAGACCAACCAGTATTCCCTTCAACCATATTTTATGACACAGCATCACTACTCCTCCTCCCCTCTGTCTGCAGTTTTTATTTCCATTCATCACTCCTTCCTCTCCCTTCTTACCTTCCCAGTTTCATCTCTGGGCAAACACTGTGTGATCCTGAAAGGTTGAAAGCTTTCAGGGCTGACCAACTCTGATGGTGTTCATTTAGCTGCTGACCCTCTACTTTTCCAAATATGATTTCTCTTTTCAAGGACTAGCCCTCCTTCCTGATAACATGGCCAAAGTATGTGATCCACCTCTCACCGGCTTTGCTTCTAAAGAGCACTTTCTCTGGCTGCACTTCACCTAAAACCTATCGCTATGGTTTACAGTCAACTTGAGGGCACCTAACACCAACTCTGTTTGGCTGCAAAGCATGCTACAGTGCTGAGTTCAGTTTAAGGCTCAAAGGCTGGTGAAGCCAGAGACTTGGGGATTCCACCAGTCTCCATCAGACCAGTGAGCTCGGCACTCAGACAAGTAACATGCTCACACCATTTTATTCCATTTACTTACCTGATGGTTTTGATACCACTGGATGGCCTGCGTGAAGACTTCAATGGCACTATCAATATCCTCCTCATGGCTGTACATAGTCACTAACGCAGACACCTGCCCAGTCAAAGGCAGAAATAAATTAGTTTCGTTCCCATTCAATCCTACGATAAACTTTTAACAAATGAAAATCAGCAAATAAGGTTACTAGGCTCTCTGCTAGTACCTAATTCTTCATAAAAATATTATATGTAAAGAGTTAAACTTTATTCCTAGAAACACCATGAACAACCACCACAACAATTTAAACCAAAATCAGTTACCTAGAAAATACAACTTTCCTCTGGAGCAGTGCTAGTCAAAGTGCTCACTGGTAGGGCAAAGCGGATTGGTACCAGTCGCCAAAAAGCCTTGTGCAGATATTGAAGATATCATTTATAATCTTGGACACTTTTTATAATAGAACACCTGCTAGGTAGTCAGGCACACAAGTTACACAGTCAATAAAAAAGCTTGCCTGGTGGGTCTGAGGGACTGTAAGGAAGCCCATGTGGCTGAACTGGGGTGAAGGGGGAAGAGCAGTAGGAGGGAGGTCAGAAAGGAAACAAAAAGTTAGATCTTTGAGGAGATTGATAAAAGCTAGAGAGATCAGGAAAAAAGAAGACACAAATTACCAGATTCCATAGACAGTAAAAGGCTAATTAGGGAGTATTATTTTAAAACTTCATGGCAATAAATATAGCAACCAAAATGAAATTAATAAATTTGTTAAGCACTAGTGCAAAGCCAGATACTAGAATTAATTTGTTTTCCCGAAATATTTTGATTCTAATATATAGTAATTATAGTCTAGCTCCTAAAATAGGATTCTTCTAAAATGAAAACACCATTATAATGCTATTTTAGTAAATGTCAACTATAATAAATTGAAGTAGAAAACACTGCTACAAATAAAAGTCCTAACAGATACACATGCCACCACTACCAATTCAGTGTTTGATATGAAACAGATGTTTCACAGCTAGTAATTTAAATCCACAGTGCTTGAATTATCTAACACAAAAGTATAAACAAAAATTGTTGGCTGATACTATTAAATTGATTTTTAGTACAAATCAAACTAAGCTACTCCTTACATAGGCCATAGGTAAGCTCTATAAGGCTGGCTTTTAGTGACAAGGCCAAGGCCTAAACAGGGTGTGGTACAGCTGTATAAGTAATCAAGTAAAGCAAAATAGTACACAAAATACAGTTAAACTTATGTCACAGTGTAACTGTTATTATTTGAACTATTTCTAGATTATTTAAGCATATTTTAAAAAATCAAAAGGAATACAAACACCAAAACCAATGCACTAGCAATTCCATTCCTTGTAGTATTTTAGTTACACTCACCATGCCTGGTTTATGCTTTAACTCTTCTATGCTTCTCAGTATTAGACATGCTTTGGAAATATTACCTTAGGAGATTAAAAACAAATTCAGAATCACACTGAAAAAAGCTTACTAAGAGGGAGGAAAATTACAAGGAATTCTACTTCTTTCTGCTATTTAGGAAAGTAAATGTAAATGTCATTTTGCAACATCTCTAATATATAAGCTTTTCTCTTTATTTATAGGCAAGGGAATTTAATTATAAAGAAACTTAAAACCAGAAAATCAAACAAGACCAAAACACTGCTGTCAAGTAAGATCCCGACTCATAGTAACTCTTAAGGACAGAGAAGAATGACCCAAAGTTTCCACAGAGGTAAATTTTTATCAAAGTAGCTAAAATGATCTTTATCCTGAAGAGCAGCTGGTAGGTTTGAACTGCTAACCTTCTGATTAGTAGTCATACACTTTGACCATACTACCAGCTCTTTAAAGAAACACATTACTTAATTTAAGCTCTCAAAAGAAAAGTTAATGGTAGCACTACTACCAGTACAAATCTTAACAACTCCCAGCCTGCTGAGTTCTAGTTCTCTTTTTTTAAACTCAAAGAGTCTTTCTTTAAAAGCTCTGGAACATGTCATTACAGATAGTAGTGCCAGGGAAACTTGCCTGTGGCACTGAAAGATTGACTTTAAACTTAATGTAATCCACAGTAACTTAATAAACTCTTAAGAGTGTCTTTAAAAATAAATAAAACCAGATTACAGTCTTTTCTTGCAACTTCAGGACAATAAATAAATCTTGCAAAGATAAATTGAAAACTGGACAAGAAGACAAAAGAGTAGGCAAGGGAAAAAGAAAGGTGTGGAGAAAGAGGAAAAGAGAATTTAAAAGGGCTAAGGCAATGTCGGACGGAGCAGAGTAATATAAAAATAAACAGTTTTTCATCATTCTTTTCATGATCATCCCTTTAAGTAGCCCTTGGGGATCTCTGGTGGCCTAGAGGTAAGAAGCCGTACTAAAATCCCATAAGCACGTAGTTCAAATCCACCAGCTACCCCCTGGAAGAAGGATGGGCAATCTCCTCCCATTCAATTAACTGCCTCTAAAAACCCACTGGAGCGTCAGCAATGGGTCAGTTCCTACTGGACCACACACAACAACAAGCAGCCCTTACAGACGCTTCTCGTAATCACCATCTAATTTAAAAGTTTCACAGATAACCAAGGGCTGTGGCTCTTTGGGGCCTTCAGGGGAAAAAGATGGGTAGTCTCTTCCTGTGTGTAATTTAGTCTTAGAAACCCACTGAAGGATCAGCTAGGATTCATTTCTGACTTTGCAACAATCCATATTTTAAAATTTTACTATCAAAGATTCATATCAGTTTAAGTATTATGGCCCTTTCTAAATATATACATTGTTTCAATCCTTTTCTCCTTCCCAAGTGAACTAAGGGCCACACAGAAACTGCAAGATTCTATTAAAAGAATTTTCTATCTGGAAATATTTTATAGCCCTTGTCACTCATGTTTACAAAACTACTGAAATGTACCTAAAGCAGCTGAAGTGAAATGAAAATTTTATTTCATTTAAAAAAATTTATTTCATTTTAATTAACTTACACTTAGAAATGCTGCATATGGCTAGTAGCTACCATACTGGACAACACAGTTCTAAAGAACAGTTCAAAGGTGGTTCAAAATTATCAGTTCTCATTAAACTTCCTAATCATTTCCTATAAAAGACACAGTTGAAAGGTATAAATAAGAAATAAGAGGCTAAGAAATTCTGAAGGCAAAGCAAACCCTTATTTCACACAAGTACTACTAAATAATAGACATAAGGGTTTCTACACACTAAATGCTGGTGATATTTTGAACACAGGAGACCAGTTTTCAAAGCATAGATTGAGAATCACTCTAACAATATAAGGGTAAGAAAAGGCCCACTAAATTAAAAGTCAGTCTGTGGAGATCACACATCTAGCTTCACATTTCTAACAGCAATAATCATGTTTCGCCAGTACACAAACACTTGAAAAGTCACGTGATACATAACTACTACAGAATCATTATATCAATTACATAATTTCATTAACATGCCATTTTAATCATGAAGGGAATCAATACCTTGGGAAATTTTCAGTTGTGCCATGGTTAGCTTAATTTGAGCTGCATTTTCTGGATGCTGATCTGAAAATTCCTAAAAGATTTTTGTTAGGAGTAAAGAAAAAAAAAACACCACACCTTATTTAATTATAAACAACTAACTATATATTGTAATTATAGATTGCAGATATAAACTATAAAAGAATTATTTAAATTCAGCAGATTAAAAGATTAAACTTTTGGTCTTAGACCAAAATTTTTACTTTAGAAAAACTTTGTTTCATACCTACTGTATTTTATAAGCACGCTCTGAAGATAAGCAAACAATGTCAAGTTACCAGTATTGAACTAGCAAATAAATAACAGCAAGAGAATTTGGTACAACAATGCCAGTTAAGGTAAGCCATGATCTTTACAATTCTTTCCTGTGCATCTGAGTGAATAAATATCACATATGAACAACTGGTGACTCTGAGTAGTAGTGTTAGATAAAAGTACTGAGTATCCCATGGACTGTCTAAAGAACAAATGAGCCTGACTTTGACAAAGTGTAACCAGGCTGTTCCTTAGAGGCAAGGATAATAAAACTTCATCTCACATATTTTTGGGCAGAGGCTAGTCCTTGGGAAAGGACTTATCATGCTGGGATAAGTGGAAGGTCATCAAAAAAGAGGAAGACCGCTAACAAGTTAGATTAACACTCTGACTGTAGTAATAATAATAATAGGCTTGAACACATCAGAGATTGCTAAAATGGCTCAGCAAGGTTCAGATCTGTTGTTCGCAGGGTCACTATGAATTATAGTTGACTTGATGGCATTTAACAACAACAAATAGATTTTTTTATTTTAAGAAAGATAAAAAAAAAATAGCATTTCTTCAATGATGGTCCTTTACAGGTAGCCCTTTAGGATATTTCTAATTTTATCCTGTCCAACTTTCCAATAAACTTTACCCTTAGGACAGTGTAATCTAATAGGACTGATTAAAACATTCCAGCAATTTTCTAACTATTTGGAGGTTTGAAGCCAACATCTTATTCCGAAAGGTGTAGCCATGCTCTAATATGAAAAGCCTAAAATATACCTGTTAATCTTAAAAAGAATTCTTCAAATTCTGTGGAAAATATGTGCATAATAAAGAAAACTTACATGAACCAATAAAGCTACAATCCAGGACTCATTAAAGCTAAGTAGCACGATGGAATTTCTACCGAGGGACATTACCTTCAAGTTTTCCCACAAAAAGTCTGTTAAGTTAGCAAAATAAAAATGAAGCATGGCTGCAACTGCTTGACATCTCATGACAATAAATGAAAGTAACTCCTTTACCTGAAGCAGCTCGATTGCTTTCACGTACTGCTTTTCACGGCACAGCTGGGCAGCTTGGATTAACACAGGGAGGAGATGCTCAGGACTCTGGGACTGTAAACTGGAGGATATTTTTCGGCACTGTTCTGCCTAAAAGACAATACTTTTACTTTTTCTGCCCTACAAAAATGAGTTCATTAATAAATACTAATTATCCAAAAAGAAAAGGAGTAAAAGAAAGTAAGAAGAGGAAACTGGTTGAGGAAAATAGAGTATCTATCAAGTTTAAAGGGTACCGATGGCATAGTCCAGAGTGTGTTTTGCCTCTAAACCAAAATAACAAATGAAGATCTACCTACGGAAGAGGAAGTCATTTACATAGTCTATTCCCAATTACTTCCTTTAAGAAAGTGTTTCTTTTCACTGAATTTAAGCTTTACAAGTTCTATTATCATTTAATAAAGGAAAAGTTCCAGATATTCACCTGGTTGCTTAAATGTCAAGGTCTTCTTTTTGAAATTTATGATTTCAGTGAATTTTCATTCAATAATTCATACATCTAGTTCCACAACAATTAATTTCTTTACTCACAATGTAACTGTGCTTTTCTCACTTGCCCCTGTAATTCTGATTTCCACTAATCCTTCCATGACTCCCTGCGTCTTCCTATTCTTTAGTGATATTATGTTGACCACCTCCTTACTAGATACTGCTTTTCCCTTGGCTCACCTTTCTATATGACTATTATTGATGTATGAATTTTTACTCACCTTTCCTCCTCCCTTCTCATTCTTAATAAACAATTAAGAGAAACTATATTTTCCTTAAAAAACCTCGAGTTTGTATCAGGTATGAGCATATGCTTTAAAAAGAGAATATTTCTTGCTAAAACATTTAAGAATAACTTGACTGATTTCTGTGTAAAAGAAATACTGACATCTCTTGCCCACTGAAAGCTTCTACTCAGTAAAAATTGACCTGTATACAATCTATAACTTGATAAAGAATAGCTCTTAAATGGTAAACATGATCAGCACCTTTGAGGATGCTTCTTGTTTAAACACAAAGCTATTACAAATAAAGTACTAAGAAAATAATTTCCTCTAAAAATACCAAATACAGTTTTTTCATGTTAAAAGCAATGAGCTTTATACCCTTACAAAGAACTGGGCAAATTACTTTTTTAATAAAATCTGACATAAAACTCTTTGAAGAACATAAAAACACATGTATGTTTAAGACAAAAGATTTAAAAACCACCAACACACAAGTAGGTTTGACAGATACCAGAAGTGTATCACCTACCTGGTTTGTGTACATAGCAAGTAAAGCTTTATTAAATTCTATAGCTTGCAGTTGCTTCTTGGAAAGCTTAAATTCCACTCCCTCTGCATTAGTTAATTTCACTTTCTTCTTGGAGTCAAAGACATTTTGGTCCTGACAGAAAAAAATTTAATAGAAACATCAGACTTCAACTTTCTTAACACATTAAGACCTAATTTTTCTTCATTTAGTTATTTTACATAAAGAAAGGAACTTAGAAGAACATATAACTACCTAGTTGGGGGTACCTAGAATTCTAAGATTCATATGTAACAGATTCTTAAACAATACTTCTGTAATTCAAATTTGTTGTAGTGTTGGAAAAGAGCCATTACTGACCCTCTAGTGGGTTTTCAGAGGCAATAAATAAAACAGGAGGAAATTGCCCATCTTTTCCTGTGGAGCAGCTGGTAGATTCAAACCACATACCTTTGGGTCAGCAAGGTAATTCCTTACCATTAAGTCCCTAGCTGGAGATAGAAGTCACAGCCAATGCACAACCAATGACTTATTCATTGCAAATACATTTTATAAGAAACATAAATGCAGGTTATACACATGTATTTCACCCGATGGTATGCATAGGAATCAGACTGATTACATCTGCGGAAAGAACCATTGGAGGAGCTCAATATCAGCTGTGAAAACTAGGCCAGGAGCTGATTGTGGAACAGACCACCAACTACTCATATGCAAGTTCAAGCTGAAGCTGAGGAAAATTAAACTGAATGCACGGGAACCAAAATATGACTTTGAGTTTATCCCACCTGAATTTCAGAACCATCTCAGAAACAGATTTGAGGCCTTGAACACTAATAAGCAAAGACCAAATGAGTTGTGGGAGGATGTCAAAGGTATCATCCAGGAAGAGTGCAGTCATTACAAAGACAGACGAGAAAAAAAAGACCAAAATGGATGTCAGAACAAACTCTGAATATTGCACTGAAGCGCAGAGAAGCCAAAGCAGAAGGAGAAATTCAAGATACTAAAGAGCTGAACATTAGATTCCAAAAGGCAGCATGGGATGACAAAGTAAAATATTACAATGAAATGTGCAAAGAGCTGTAGTCAGAAAATCAAATGGGCCAAACTCGTTCAGCATTTCTTAAGCTCAAGGAACTGAAGAACAAATTCAAACCTAGAGTTGCTATAATCAAAGATGCTTTAGGCAGAATATTAAATGATCCAGGTTGTATTAAAAGAAGATGGAAAGAATATACTAAGTCACTGTATTGAAAGGAATTGGCAGACACAGAAGAATTTCACGAAACAACATATGAGCAAGAACCTATGGTGATGAAAGAAGAAGTGCAAGCTGCTTTGAAGGAAATAGCAAAAAATAAGGCCCCAGGAATAGATGGTATACCAATTGACATATTTCAGCTAACTGATGCTGCCCTGGACATGCTCACCAAGTTGTGTCAAGAAATCTGGAGAACAACCACTTGGCCAACTGACTGGAAGAAATCTATATTTGTTCCCATCCCAAAGAAGGGTGACCCAACAGAGTGTGGAAACTATAGAACGATATCATTGATTTCACATGCAAGCAAGATTCTACTGAAGATTATCCAAAAACGACTGGAACAGCACAGCAGCAGAGAATTGCCAGAAGTCCTGCCCAGGTTTAGATGGGGTCGTGATACTAGGGATATTGTAGTTAATGTTAGATGGATCTTAGCTGAAAGCAGGGAATACCAGAAGAATATCTATCTGTGTTTCACTGATTATGCAAAGGCGTTTGACTGTGTGGATCATAACAAACTGTGGCTGACTCTAAGAAGAATGGGAATCCCAGAACACTTGATCGTGCTAATGAGAAACCTAAACTTGGACCCAGAGGCAGTTGTCAGAACAGAACAAGGAAACACTGCATGGTTCAAAATTGGAAAAGGTGTACGCCAGGGATGTGTCCTATCTCCATACCTTTTCAACCTGTATGCAGAACAGACTGTCTGAAAGGCTGGGCTCTAAGAGAAGTGTGGCATCAGGATTGGTGGAAGATCTATCAACAATATGCATTATGGGAAGGTAGAGGGACAGCACAGGAGCAGAAGACCCTCTCTGAGGTGGATTGATTCAGTGATTGGGGTAATCGAGATGAGTGTGTTGGAGACAGTGCGATTGGCACAGAGCAGTGTTTAGGGCTGTTGTACATAGGGTCACTATGAGTTGCAAGCAACTTGACGAGGGCACATAATAACAACAACAAGATGTATATACTTATCTCCCACTATTTAAACCTTTTAAACCTAATTTGAGGCTTCTGAATACTTTGCTCCGTACTCACAGATACTAAAAAACTAGCAAGTAAGATGCACTGATGACACAGGCAAGACTGCAGTTGTTTTTAGTACTTCTACTATTAATTGCTTGTTTTGAGTTTTCTGAAGACTGCCACCCAGGGAGAGCACAAATCTTGCAGTGGCAACTGGGATTCTATCTCAAAAGGTGTTGCAATTTCTATATGCCATGCTCTGTTGAATTTGGATGACATATTGCACTCTGAAATCTATGATCAGAACTAGCCCATCACTGATCCTCCAGCAGGTTTTTCAGAAGCTACAGACAGCACAGGAGGAGGGTCCCCAACTTTCTCCAGTGGAGCAGTTGGTAGATTTAAATTGCTTGCTTCTGGGTTGGCAGTTTAAACCTTTACCATTAGGCCAACAGAAACAACAACTCTGAAATACCATTACTATTATTTTATTATTATTACTAACAGAAGACAGTTAAAACATTTTGTTTGCTTCTCATCAAACAAAAGTACAGAGAAGTTTGATCTCTGAAATGTCTATTTGGGGAAAGTAAAGTATCATCTGTCTAGAATCTTTGTTAGGAATTATAGAAAGTTTCACATCTGTCAGAGCAATTATTATGAAACATAGCACCCTGAGGACAAACTAAGAGTCTGACTGTCCTATCTTATGCACAGTATTCTCGATTTGTTACATTACAAGTTGATAAAAAAGTGATAGCACTGTATTTTTAATCATGTCTTCTACCAATTTAAAAACTCTAAATTAGCAAAGGTATTTCAACAAATTCTTTTCCTTAATGTGAAACTGGCTTTCATGTAAATGAACCCTCACAAAATTATATTCCTACCTGGTTCTTCTATGTCATTATTTTAACACTTCAATTTATTATGCAGGGTACCATCAGACTTTCTTAAACACTGTGCGCATGGCACTTATTTTATATTCAATATTTTCTCACTGCTATTACTCAATTTAATCCATGCTTTAACAGCCAGCTTGTATATATGCTCTAACCTGTTTCTTCACTTTCCTTCTACAATTCTTAAATAATTCTTCATATGTATATTTGCTTATGCTGTTGCTTAACCTTTAAATGATGTCCATCCTTTATGGGTGAGCTCAACTCTGTCAACAAGATTTTGCCTTTTAATAAATACAGTGACTATCAAATATGCCTCCTGCCCAAAAATAAAACTGCTCAATTTTTATTTCAGCCTTTGAGCTGTGGTGCTGGAGAAGAGTACTGAATGTACCCTGGACTGCCAAGAAAACAAACAGATTCATCAACATTGCCATGGGAAAATGTGCTGTTAGGGGCCTCTCCAGGGTACTGAAGAGCAATGGTGTCACTCTGGAGACTGAGGTGCGTCTGATACAGCCCATAGTCTTTGCTATCACTTGTTATGCATGAGAGTTGGACAATGAGTAAGGAGGACAGAAGGAGAATTGATGCCTTTGAGCTGTGGTGCTGGAGAAGAGTACTGAGGGCACCATGGACTGCTAGGAAAACAGATTCATCTTGGAAAGGGTTAAACTGGGTGGCTCCTTGGAGGCAAGGATTCTGAGGCTCCGTCTAACATACTTTGGACATGTTGTTAAGGAGGGACCAGTCCTTAGAGAGGGACATCATGCTTGGTAGGGTGGAGGGACAGCGCAGGAGGGGAAGACCCTCTATGAGGTGGATTGATTCAGTGACTGGAGTCAGAGACAGTGCAATTGGCACAGGACAGAGCAGAGTTTAGGGCTGTTGTTCACAGTGTCGTTATGAGTAGCAAGCGACATAACAACAAAAACAACTAGTGGCCTAGTGGTAAGAAGCTGCACTGCAATCCCAACGGCCTACAGTTCAAATCCACCAGCTGCTCTGCAAGAAAAGATGGGCAGTCTCCTCCTGTGCAATGAAATGCTTCTGAAAATTCAGTGGAGGATCAGCTATTAGTTAATTCTGACTTGAAGACATCCAACATTATTATAAATTAGTAGAAGGAAAAGATTTTAAAGGCTAGGGTCTGCAATTACAAAAAGGCTTTATAATTTTAACAGCTTCACTGTGATTTTGCTATAATTGGACTTTTTTTGCCATGGAGAAAGAATACTTAGGACAAAGTGTTGAGAGTAGGATGTCACATATATTTCATACCTTGTTAATGGTAATGATGTTATTTGCAATTACAGCTAGCAATCCCACATCTGTTGGCCTGTGAACAACAAGCAACAATCAAAAAGGTACACACTTAAAAAAAAAATCACAAACCAAGCATCATCCCCTACCAAGGTACTTCATTTTAATAACTTACTTCAGTTTGATTATCTGATTGTAAAGTTGTAAAGCCTCCTCTGTACAACCCTGAAGCTGCAGTATATATGCCATCTGACCATGAATGATTGCCAGTTCTGTCTGTGGGTCTTCCTCAGCCCCATCCTAAGCAAAGAAAAGAAACATTTATTTCCTTTAAATTTTCCAAAACAAGCCACGCTTATCAAGTAACCTGCACATATGAAAGATACACAGCACTAATGAGTGCAATTTCCAAGAATTTTCCCTTAGAGTGAGTTCTTCAGAATCACTCAGGAACTGTCACCCAGAAAGTTTAAATGAGAATGGCAAGAAATAGCTTTTAGAAAACAGCAACAAACTCAGGAGTACCATTTACTGGTCACTACCATCCTACAAAAAAAGGAATAAAAAAAATTAAGAAGTCTAAAAGCCAGGATCTGACTTACAATGATACCAGCACACTCTAGAAAATAATATTCTCATGAAAAAAAAAGTTTGTCAATGTTTCACTCTTAATTCTACCGAACTCTAAAGATTAGAAAATTCAGAGAATTTCAAAAGCTAAAGTTAATTCTATACTTCAAACTGAAGCTCTACAAACAGCCTCTCTAGACTCAGCTGCTTTCTCTTCTTTGCAGAAAAAGCTCATTTCCGGGGTGCAATGAATGCTCAAGGCTAGCAGGTTTTTTGACCAGAAAGCACTCCTTCTTTCCCCTGATGAGTGTAGTCTATGCTCACCAGGGCTCAGACTTGTTTCCAAACTTCCCTATGTCAGCTGTTACATTCAGTTGTGATGTTTTACGGAGTACTACAGTGAGAAAAAACTACCTAAGTCTGAAAAAACTTGCTTCAATAAAACTCACAATAAAAAAAAAATCCAGCAAATAAACTCACCATGAATGTTTAGAAAGATGTTATAAAATTAAGTTTCAAAAGAAAAATATTATTAAAGGAGATGTGCGCCAGGAAATGGTAAAAGGATCTGAAAAGGGTAACACCTTAATAACTCTGCAATGAAACTCCTCACAGCTGCTTAAGAGTAATGATCTACTTTAATAAACACATACCCAGAAATCATATGCTGAATTATATGTAGTTTTTATAAGAAATATGTATGAAATTCCTATGAGATCTACAATTAAAGGCCATAACCTTGCATTTCAAGACTGGAGAATGAAATCTGTATATACGTGAATCAAAAGCAAAACAGGTATTTGACTCTTTGTACTTTGATTTATCAAACTAATAGACTTTACAAACTGATCCAAAGAGCTTCACTATGATTTCTATTTAGTGAGACAGCATACATATAAATGTATAGAGAGCCTCTTACTAATTTGTATTATAGTGTAAAATCTGGATTTAATACTTACAGAATCTTCTGATAGTGAACGGCGACAAAGATCTAAGGGAGAAAAAAAATTGTTTTAAAATTAACATTTCTAAGTAACTTACATTTCCTTTCATCACTAAATTCCTGGGCAGAAGGCTTCAAGATAATCTTAATGACAAGCAAACTCATAATTATCTTATCATCAAATACACTACTAAAATTTTACCAATCCTGGATAATTCTAGTTCTTTAGTACTTTCTTTGTTCATAGTATCTATATTGTGAAAAATTTTAAGGTAATTAAAGAAATATTATAAATACACTGTCTACTTTTTGAAAAAAGTAAAAAAGAGCATCATCGTACTATCTGGAGATAACCATTCCTAGCATTTTAGTTATTTCTAGTTGTGTTTAATGTTCAAGCACATGCATTTTTAAATGAAACTGAGATAGTATATATACATACTTCTTTGAAGCTTCCTTTCCTTTATTTTATATACGATAGATAGGTTTATATTGTAATTAGTTTAGATATGCATTGTTATTTACAATGACTACATGGCCATCAGGGAGTTCTGCTGGCCTATGGAAAGAAGCTGTGCTGCAATCCCAAAGGCACACGGTTTCAGGCCACCAGCTGCTCCATGGAAGAAGGATGGTTAATCTCCTCCTGTGCAACTAACTGCCTCTGAAAAAACACTGAAGGGGCAGCTATGGGTTGGTTCCGACTCAAGAGAACAAAACAACAACATGTACACGTGCTTTGTGATTATTAAAAATGCAGCAATCAAAAAAAAAAATGCAGCAATCCCTTAAGAGGTTAAAAACTCATGCTGTATTTCAATATATATATATATATATATATATATATATATACATACATACACACACACACACATGTAATTTACCCAATTATTTCATCAAGAGGTTAAAAACTCATGCTGTATTTCAATACACACACACACACACACACACACACACATATGTAATTTACCCAATTATTTCATCAAGTTTCTAAAACTATAATTCCCAGATGATGAGATAAGCAAATTTTAAAGTCTGCTATACACACCCAAGCTGGAACGTTCACTGTGAAGTCTGTATAACCTTATACTCAAACAGTATTATGTAAGAGTGTCCTTTCTCACACTGTTAAACTGGGAGTGATAAAACGAAGTTCAAAAAAAAAAAGAAAACGAAGTTCTTAAAAACCAGTGTTTTCTCTTTATGACATCCTAACTCTAAGCATGTAATAGTAAAACATAGATGAGTTTCATTTTTTAATATGCCTCACATTTCAATGCACTCCCTGCAAGGAAAATTCTCAATGCTGAAAAGTCTCAATGTTTAAGGAGAAACCTTTCCATGGAGAAAAGTCTAAACATTTCAGGAACTGAAACATAATCTAGTTGAAAAAGTTTTCTGTTTTTTACTAATAAATACTGCAAATGATGTAGATATGGGAAAATAGTAAATAAGCTTAAAAAATGAGGTAGTATATGCATGTGTGCATAAACACAGCCACAACAAACGTGTATACTTACCTGGACAATAATTACTGAAGATTATGACATGTAAACATTAAGTGCTTGAGATGAAGCACTTCATCAAATTCACGTTTAACTTTCATAAGAAACTTTTTAAAAACCTACTCTTCAAATTTCAAACTTTAAAGTTGCGTGTGGCTGAAAATTAGCAAGTAGGTTGATTTCAAGATCACACAAAATATAAGAGCAATATGGTAAGATCCAAGAGAAAGAACAAATTGCACATCAGAAATACTCATGCATTAACATCACTCAGTTACCTCACAAAAATCAAAAGCACCTTGTGGAGAGATACTATGCAAAGTTATAGCAATGCTACCTATACACATAGCTTTAATAAACTTCCAACCTTCAGCTTTCTGTAGGATTTTCATTGCCTGGGTCAGTTGGCCTTGTCCTATCAGTGCACATGCAGCATTATAGCACAATTCGTATGTGCCTTCTTGTAGGCCCAAGTTTTCCTGTCAAGGAACAAAATACCAGTCAAGCATGAGGCAGAAGTATCATTCCAGGCTATGTGCGTACTTAAGCATACTCACTGGAGCCACTTTTTGCCAATTGCTCTGAGCTGCAACAACTGCTGAAAGGTTGGTTTTTCTCTCCTCATCATAATCATCTTGGGAGTTTCGCACAAGATCTCTATATACAGCTAAGCACTCATCATAGCGTTCCAATCGGTATAACTGAAGGGACAAATAATAAGTAAAAATAATCAAATGAGCAGTTGGTATTAAATCTCCAATACCAAACAAACCATTTACAGAACCATTAAAAAGGCATTTTATCAACATAACAGGGACAAATTATTTTCTTCCTAATTTTTTATTAGTTCTCTGTGTTACTAATATTCCCAAAATATTACCTGCAATGAATCAACCATATTACAGATTGGTAGCCACAACTGTTTAAGTGGTTTATTGACTATTTTCTTAAAAGAAGATGAGCACGCGAGTGGTGAAAAAACCCTTTGTACAGAAATCAATCCTGTTATACATAAATCTATTTTAAAAAAATCCACAGTACATGATTACTAAACTTCATTAAACAGAAATTAGATGTTAACAGAAACAGCATTTCATAGGTATTCACAATATTTTACTGCATATTCTTTCCTAGAGATTAGCTAAGGTACAGAGTTGTCTTAAAATATATTAAATGGCAATAAAAATTGTCACTCTAAGCCAATGAGTATACTATGTATATTAGAGATTGGTTCTAGTCTCTAATTGTTAATAATTATCTTTTCCATTAAGCTTAATCTTATGTCTCAAAAACCTTTCAAAATAAAATACCTTTCAGATTTCAAGAGTTAGCTGAATATATCAAAACCCTTTTCACACTTTCTAATTTTTAAATTCAAAATACCAAATACTAGAGAGAATGGTAATGTGTCTAAGTTCATGGATTTTTGTTTTTCATCTTTTCAAATAGACAGAAAATTTTATTTTGCAGTTCTTCTACTTTCTTGACTATTCCAATTATTCCAAGGAAATCATTTGTTAAAAAACCAACTTTAAGCAACTGGCCTTATGAAGATCAAAAAGAGGGAATATATTCAAACCTCAAGGAACTCGTTTGTTGGTCAGTTTTGTGTAGCATCCCTGCTCCTCGCTAGAGGCAGAATCATGCTCACTCAGGATGACTGTCAACAGGTATTTTAAAGCAGTAATTACCACTTGTCCATAAAGCTCCTTTAGTTTGTCTGTCTGCTGGTTGGCACTTTCTATTGTCTTCAAGGCATTCTCAATTCTATTTAGCCTGTACTCGCAATATGCCTTCTCAAAGGAAAGAGAGTTGCTGAAAAAGAAAAAAAAGAGAATCTATTCTAAGGTAATACTGTCATCACAGTAGGCCAGACAATGCTTTCACTACCTGACACATTAGTTAGTCCTTGTAATAAGAGATGCAGTAAATGATGATGAAAAGTTAGTGGTGTGCACAAAAATCACAAAGCTAGTGACAAGAAATTATACCCATTCCCTTGTGTCTCATATGGTTACTTTCATGGATATTCTTATCAGAATGACTGGTCTTTTAAAGAAACATTTAAAAAGAAAATAATCAGTTCAATAACACATATTCTTAGAAACAAAGACAATATAAATATTTTAAGTGGATTATTTAAAGTTTGTTATCCACTAATCAAATAAGGTGTGGTATTACTGTGATTAGGTACTGCTGACTTGGAAGTGACTCACTGCTGACATTCCAGGGGGTTTTCAGATGCGGGAAATCATATGGGCGGTAATTTCCCATCTTTCTCCAGAGAAGCAGCTGGTGGATTCAAACTGCATACCTTGGGGTTGGCAGTATAAGTTATCACTAAGCCACCAGGGCTCCATAATAAGCATACAGTGTTTTAATTTGTTTAAACAGCAAATGATCAGCAAAGAAAAAGTCTCACACACACATTCTCTCTCTCTCGTGTGCGCTCACTCACACACACACATACACACACACACACCCCCGCAAACACTGGACTCCCAACCAACTAGTAAACATACTTCAAAAAAATCTTACAGACATTCAAAATTTAAAAATTCATTTAAACATTATACCATTTATGTCTCATTTTTACTTATTAACCACCATTTGTGAGGAGATAAGTATTTATGAATATAAATAATAATATCTTTCATTCACTGGCCTAATAAATATTAGGAAGCTCAGGTGGCTTAGTGGCAACGTTGTGTTGTCAACTCATAGGCATGTGGTTTGAATCCGCCACCTCCTCCGCAGGAAAAAGATGGACAAGCTCCTCTCATGTAATTTACTGCCTCTGAAAACCTGCTGGAGGGTCAGCCATGAGTTGGTTCCACCCTGACAATACACAGTATGATCTCTGGGTAAGAAGCTGTGCTGTGAACCCTAAATAAGGCATGAGGTTCTAATCTACCACTTGCTCCTTGGGAAGAAAATGGACAATTTCCTTCTGTGTAATGTATTGCTTCTAAAAATCTGTTGCATGGTCAGCTATGAGTTGGTTCTGACTCAATGGCAAACAACAAAAATGAATAAAGATTATGTGAAAGCTTCCCTACGTCATAAAGTCATTAAAATTTCTTATGCATTGAAAGACCAGAGTGAAGAAAAGACTCTTGAAGGTTAGGGGAAAAAAACAGGACAAAAAGCCTACTGTTCCTTTCTGTTACAGAAATACCACTGTCAACCAAAAGCAGAGAGGGGAAGGAAGTAAATCAGTTAGCAATGGAGGAGAAATCATAGAAATAATTTTAACTATACCAAAAGTGTTTCTAGTAACTGTACAACTAAACCACTTACTTGGCTAACACTTTGGTGTGAGTATTGATGACATTCAAGGCTTCCTTGAAACTTCCATTCTGGATAAGGCATACGACTTTACAGTGCAGGGCAGTTACATCATCCTTGTTGACCTGCAGTACTAGACACCAATTTTAGGAAAGCCATTATTCCATCTTTTCACTCAAGTTACTCATTATTCCATTATCTTTTCACTCAAGGTCCCACTCCTGTCTCATTTCTAATTTTACTACAGTAGACAACATTGATGTTGTTGCTGACTGCTCGCTGAGTTGAGCACTACTCATCACGTGCGACCCTATGAACAAAAGACCTGAAGCTCTTCTATAACTATTGTCATTTCTCAAAGTTCATAATTTCCAGAGGCACGTTGTTTAACATGTTGCTGCAAATGACAGCAAATTTGTTTCTGAGCACGGTCGTCAATTTAAAAAAGTGTGCGGCAATGTGTTAAGAAGATGATGCCACTCTGCTTCCAAGAAAACCTTAGTTGGAAAACAACAAAAAAAACACAACAGAAAAAAAATATCAATCTTTTTAACTTTAGATACTATACTAAAAAAAGTTGTAACAATATATTAAACTCTTAGTAAAACAGATTAAAGATTTACCAAGATACATGTACCCAAAAAGAAGGGGTGTGGGGAGGCAAGAAGGTAGAAACTTTTCATCTTGGGAAGCATGAGACATATTTTATTATTTCATGGCAGGGGGAGAAAAATTCATGTAGTATTCAGAATCAAGTGACTTAGATTTGAAAGCATGCTTTTTATTAACTACTCTGAAGTCTTGTGAAAGCCATGTAATGCTAAATATCACTTTTCTAATCTGTAAATAAGAAATTCTACATTAAATGTCAGAAAATTCTTCTTTATTGTAAAGCATAAAACAAATACAACCCATTTTGCTGTTACTGTTTCCGAAACATAGCTGTCCCTGAGAGTTAGGCAACTAATCAAAAGAACAGCTTCTTTTTTAGGGGTCAGCTATGAATTGTTTCTAACTCAATGACAATGACTTTTTGAGTTTCCAATGTAAGATTATCAAAGAGAAGTAGCTGTTATGTGTTGTTGAGTGGACTACAACTCATAGCGACCCTAAAACAACAGCTCTGAAACTTGCCCTATCCTGAGCCCACCTCACCTTCACTGATACACCTGACGTTATTCTGACTAGCCACAGTCACTGGGTTAATCCATCTCATCCAGGGAGGCTTTCCCTAGTGTTGATCTTCCACCCTTCCAAGCATGTTGTTCTTCTCCAAAGTCTAGTCCCTCCTGACAACATGCCCAAAGTATGAGATGAAATTTCAAAATCCTTGACTCCAAGGAAGTAACGTGGTTTTAGCTTCTCCAGGAGAGACCTGTTTGTTCTCTCGGCAGTCTGTGCTAGTTCAATACTCTTTTCCAGCACCACAGCTCAAAGGTATTGTTTCTTCCTTTGTCATTCTTACTCACTGTATAGCTTACAGACGCAGAACAAGCAGGTGTACCTTAGTCTTTAGACTGATATCATTGCTCTTTAGCCTTCTGGAGCCATGCAACTCATCTTTTACTTTTCTGAGTGCTGATGCTAAGGGTGTTGTTTGTGGATTTGAGCAAGATGAAATCATTAGCAACTTCAATCTTTTCTCTGTCATGCTGCTGCCTACTTTGTCTGGTGGTAAGGATTTTTGCCTTCTTCCCCCCGCCCCCAATAATACATTTAATAGGAGAGATCTCAGTCATTGATACTGTCTTCTTGATATTGAGTTTCAATCCATACAAAAGGCTGCATTCCTTGATCTTCTGCAGCAAGTATCTCAAATCCCTGTTTCAACAAGCAAAGCTGTCTTACCTACTTAACACAGGTTATTAATCAGTCCTCCTCCAATACTGATGCAACATTCTTGTTCATAAAGTTAGTCTCTTGAATAATCTGTGCCAGGCAGCTGCTCAGTGTCATACTGACCAGCATTGCATTAGTTCGTTTGAAGAGTAACTATAGGAGCAACTACTGGAGTCCAACTTGAAGTTTAAAAGTCAAAGGAATGTTTATCAATAAGGAATACACATACATAACAAGACATTACAAGGTTCCAATATTACAAGATTCATAAGGTTACTATGAGTTATAGTCGACCTAACACTACCTAATAACAACATACAAAAACAAATCGATTACCTTTCCTGATTAACAAAAAAAATTCTGTCACATATTTATAATACTGGTCAAGGTCTACCCAGGAGACAAAATTAATTCAAGCTGAGTTTTATTGTGTGTGTCAAATAATTCCATTGAGGGAGTCTGGTGACCTAGTGGCAAGAAGCTGTGCTGCAATCCCAAAGGCACACAGTTTGAGGCCATCAGTTTCTCAGTGGGAGAAGGACAGGTAACTCCTCCTACACAATTAACAAGTAATTCTAACTGACAGCTATTATAACCTGCATTACACAGATGGTACAATTCTGCTTGCTGAAAGTGAGAAGGACTTGAAGCACTTGTAGCAGAAGACCAATGTCAGGAAAACAAAGACTCTTTCTTCTGGACCAATAAAGGCGTCATCATGACAGATGGAAAGGAGAATGAAACTGTCAATAACTTCATCTTGCTTGCATACACAATTAACACCTTTGTTACCAGCAGTCAGGAAATAAGAAGACACAGTACATTGGGAAAAATCTGCAGTTGGGGGCCTTTCCAAATTATTGAGGAGTAATGATGTTAGTTTGAGGACTAAAGTGCATCTGATGCAGACCATGGTCTTTCCAATCACTTGACATGCAGCTGAGAGCTGGACAATGGAAAAGAATGACAGAAAAAGAACTGACGCCTTTGGGCTCTACTGTTGGAAAAGAGCAGTGGACATCCCATGGATGGTCAAGAGAACAAACATATGTCTTGGAGAGGAATGCTCTTCGGAGGCAACATGAGGCTTCACCTCACATACTCTGGGCATGCTGTTAGGAGGGGTTATCTCTTGGAGAAGGACATGATGCTGGGAAAGGTGGAGGAGTGGCGAAGAAGAGGAAGACCCTGGACCAGGTGGAATGACACAGTGACAGCAGTAATGGATTCAAATGCGTCAGTAAGTGTGCTGACGCATAGGATAGGGCAGGGTTCAGATCTGTTGTTCAAAGGGTTGCTGTGAGAAGTACTCAACTTTATGGCACCTAACAATATCCTCAGTGTAGTAAGTCATCAAGTGTGTTGCAGTCATAATGACCCATGTTCACATTAACACTGCAACAGGCTGCAGAACAAATTACACAGCTTTACTATGTTACTACTCTATTTTGAACAGCCAAATCCTGGCTCTGTCTACTAAATTTCAAATTTAACAAATACAAACTATCTTCAGGAGAGAATAATTAAGCAAAATTGAGTACTTATAAAAACACAGCACGTTAAAGTTATCTGTTGTTGTTATGTGCCCTCGAGTCGCCTGCGACTCATAGCGACCCTATGTACAACAGCCCTAAACTCTGCTCTGTCCTGTGACAACCCCACTGTCTCCGGGACAGGATAAAAGAACATAATGTGTTGACTCTCACAGGAAACCCAGTAATTGACATTATCACGTCAGTGTCAAAAAAACAGGACAAACTTTTCTTATGACATTATTCCAAACGCTGGTGGCTTGAAGACACACACATCCACCGGGGTGATTCTACCTGTGGGAATGACACGTGTGACAAAGAGCCAGCCCTCCCCACCCCTCTGCAATGAAATCGTACAGCTGTCACCTTGTCAGCAACAGATTACAAATTACGTTCGTCCCTGGGGCAGGATCGCGACCACTCCGTTAGAGACGGGAGGAAAAGAGGCAATCTGAGAATCTGAAAAATGAAGCAGACTCCAACGATAACAGAGTTTGAAAAAGGTACCGGGAGCTGCTGCGGTCTCTTTAAATGTCCGCAGCGGGGGTACAGAGGTGGAAGTACACGTGGCTCTAAGCTCCCAGGACCCTGAGACTTCCAGGAGAGGGGCGAGGCGTGGGACCCGCTCCGCGATCCGGCCCAAGCGGAGGGCGCCCGGGGTCTGTCCCCTCCACCGACTAGCCCTGGGGGTCGCGCGCGGCGGAAGGAGGCCGCGTGCCCCCCCGAAAGCCCCGGGCCCGCCTCGGCGCCCGCGCCGGCCCGGACACTCACTCTTGTTGACGGTCTTGAGAGCACGGGTGAAGTCGCCGTTCTGGCCATAACGATTCACTTCACTCCACAGCGCAGGTACGGACACCCCCCCACTGCCGCCGCTCGCCATCTTGCAGGAAGGGGGGGAGTGACCTCTGCCCCGGAAGCGGATCTTTGCGGAGTCAAGCGCCGAGGAGGAAGCAGCTGCTTGTTAATGGTCGCCGGGCCTGGACCTCCTTTTGGGTTAGCCTTGGGGGTGTTCCTCTCTTTAGCAAGAAGTTCCGGTGGTTGGAATCTATTTTGATACATTTTTACGGATCTACTCGTTGGATTTCAGGAGGGGCTCTGGGTTCAGCTAGGAGCCGCGTGTATTTCAGGGGTGACCGCTGCGTGCCTGGGGCTCTGGGGACGGGCCTGGGAGCCTTTTGTGTCCGCAAGCCTCTGCTAGTGTTTTGGAAAATAGTACCAGATCTTAGGGAGTCACTTGCAAGAACGGGGCTCAGGTTCTCCTTGGTGTTTGGGAATACTTAATAGAGGAGTGGGCATTTGATTGGCTTCTTGAAAAGTGATTGAGAACCTAGGATTCTGGGAAAATGGCAGAGAGCATTCCTGCAGAAAAGAATCCCCAAGTTTGGTGTAAATCCTTGAACTCGACCATAGTAAAAAGATCAGGAAAAATCATGAGCTGAGAATCCCAATGTTCACTTTCATACTCTGCGACTCCTTTATTTTTAATTAATCTTAAGTGCCATGACATAGCAGTCCTATGAAAAACAGATTTGAACCCTGTTTTCCTGTGCCATCCTATAAAAACATAATTTTTCCAACTTAAAAATAGGAATAAAGTTTTTTACCAATAAAGCGTAACTCATACGTACACTAATGTAACAGAAAAATTTTAGAGCCATTGATTGGTGTCATGATTCTCTATTTGCCTCTTCTTCTTTGCCCAGCAATTTAGCCATTCTTAGGTGCCCTCCTACTCAGTGACCCTAAAAGTACAAAACAAAATCCTGCCCACTCTCAACATCTATGATGTGCTTAACGCTGTATTTTGCAGTCATTTTGTGTCTATCTCCTTAAGGGTCTTCCTATCCTTTGCTGACCCTCTACTTTTCCAAGAAATGGTCCCTCCAAATTAACCCAAGTATGCAAAGCAAAGCATCACCAGCCTTGTTTCTAAAGAGTACTCTAGCAGCACTTCAGTGCTATTTTTGGCAGTCCATGCACAGTATATTCAATACTGTTGCTGGCACAGCTCAAAAGCATCAATTATTCATGATCTTCCTTACATTGTCCAGCTTCCATATACTTGAGAAGCAATTGAAAACCCCATGGCTTGTGTTGAGCACACCCTAGTCTTTGAACTGGCATTCCTGGTTAGCACTCAAAAAGTCCTGAGCAGCACATTTTTTATTTGCCCAGTGCAGTATGCTGTTTTGGTTTCTTGACTTCTGCTTCCATGAACATTAATTGTGGATCCGAAAAAAGAAAGTAAATAATAAGACTTTTTCCCCATTATTCTTTTTCTGGGTTTTTTTTTTTTGTGTGTGTGTGTGTGTTTGTTGTTTTTTATTTTAATCAGGATGAAAGTTTAATTCCCTTCCCCTCCTTTTCTTGTGTGCCATCGAATCAGATCCTGCTAGCACAGGAGGAGTTTGCCCCTCCTTCTCCAGCACAGCATCTGATGGATTCAAAGCAAAAGTTTACTGAAGGGAATCTATTGCTCTGCTAGGACCAATGTGCTGCTACCAAAAGACCAGCAAATAGCATTTACCAACCACTCTGGGAGAAAGATACGACAGTCGGCTTCCTTTAACATTTTAAAGATGAAAACCAGACTCAGAATCAACTCATGGCTGCTGTTTGGTTCTTACTATGCAGATTGCACAGCATTCCCGTTATAGTCATTCTCTACTTTGAAGCACTGACAGTAATTTAAGAATCATCTTTCTTGTTTAATTTACTACCACAGTATCCTTGACAGCATACCTGAAACCAGCACAGTCTGGGCCATGATACACAGTTCTTTTTAACCAAATGAGACTGTTCTTGTCTGTCCTAACTGGTGAGTTCTTTTGCGACAGAAATTACACCCATTCTATGATTGTGTCCAGTGACTCTGAAGGAAAGATGGGTATCTCCTCTTGTGTCATTTACAGCACTGGAAATCCACTGGCCGGTCAGCTCTAAGTTCCAATCTTACACCTGAGGCCAGTGATCAGGGTCTTGTCAAGAGTTCAGCTCTAAAACTTGTGTAGCATCCAAACGTGAGACTCAAACTAGTTCATTCTGGATTGAGCCCTTGCTGAGAACTTTGCCAGTCTACAGTTTAACAACGTATGTTTTAAGAAACATTGCCTAGCCTGGTACCATCCTCACATTCACTTTGGAGCCCACTGTTGCAGTCACGGGGCCTGGCTACCTTGTTGATGGTCCTCCTCTAACCCTTTAGCAGGCATAATGGACTATCTAAAATGCATGTGGAAATAGCTAACTGTTCTTTTTTAATAGCCAAATGCATAGTGATTTCAGCTAGGCTTTCCTATACAGCCATGTTGTTATGTGCCGTCGAGTCACTTGCGACTCATGGAGACCATATATACAATAGCCCTAAACTCTGCTCTATCCTGTGCCAATTGCAGGGTCTCACACTCCCATCCCTATTATCCCAGTCACTGAATCCATCTCATAGAGGGCCTTCCCCTCCTGCGCTGTCCCTCCACCCTCGCAAACATGTTGTCCTTCTCCAAGGACCAGTCTCTCCTCACAACATGTCCAAAGTATGTTAGAGCCTCAGAATCCTTGCCTCCAAGGAGCCACCTGGTTTAACCCTTTCCAGGACATATCTGTTTGTTTTTCTAGCAGTCCATGGTACTCTCAATACTCTTCTCCAGCACCACAGCTCAAAGGCATCAATTCTCCTTCTATCCTCCCTGGTCATTGTCCAACTCTCTGATG